ATAAGAAGATGATACCGAAATTGGGGATCACAGTTCTTCGAGTGACAGTTAAGAGACAGAAACTGATACCGATAGTAATTAATTTTACTCGTAAACATGTATTCATTTATGCTAACATTAAAAACTTCAATATAACATTATATTTATAATGTATTTATATTGTTTTCACAATAATGTAATTTATTCAATTTTATGTTACTATTAATTTTGGCCACCTAAATTATATTCTATCCCACTGTGCGGCGGGTTGAACGCTGCCGTAAGAATCGAACGGGATTGGAAATCGGGTGTTCGCCGCGCAACGTACTCTCTTGCTTTTATGTCGGAAGAATTGGTCGAGGGTGCACTCTATCGACGTTTCGTTAATCTTTTCGGAGCGATACTATCTAAACAAGAACGCAGACGTACAGTACGAGTTGTACATCACAACGTTTCGTAGCACGGCCTGGTACGTTGCTCGTGTAAAACTCATCAGTTTACCGTTCATTTTAAACATTAATTTCTTAAAAATATTGAAAATATTTTAACGACCGTAAAAGGGAAAATACGAATAGCTATTGCCTAACATTTAGTAATAGTGCAGCGGTACTTCGAACCGCATTTGAACACAATTTGTATATGTTTATTTTTTTTATTAATTATTTTATGGTATATATATCCTGTATTGATCAACCGGCTTACTTATCAACCTGTTGTCTTTAGCTCAGTTATTGCAACGCGAAGGCTACTTATGTTTGATAATTACTTTTGGCACAGAATAATATATAAGGTAAACAGTACAAAGAATGTGTGTACTATAGACAATTTGATAAATAAAAAGTGTAATGATACGCGCCTGAGCAATCAAATGTTTTTGAAATTTCATGTACAATAAAATAATCATAATAATTGTTAGCCATAAAAATATGAATAAATTACAAAATTTGAATAAAATAAAATATAGCGATAAGATATTACACATACACGTACATATATACACACGCACACACATACACAACATTAGATATAAGGAGCTCAGTTTTCAGTCACGGCACAGACGCGTTCTTATTGTCTTTTTATACGGACGGTTAAAGGCGAGTGTATAAGACTACGCGGATCGTCTAAGAAATAATGCATAGTTAGTGGTAAACGTTTGTGATAATATTTAAAAACACGTATGACAATGTATGTTAAAAAGTTTAAATAAAACTGACGATTGTGAGTCAAAGAAAAAGTTATTACTGTTTTAAAATACAAATTGGTCATCTCATCTTATATCTCAGACACCAATCACGATTTCAATAGGAAAGTTGCTATACGGATCGTAGAGGTAATATTATTTATTTATAACACAATAAGTAATTGCTTTAAGGTAACTTCGTGTCCATTTTAAATCATTACAAAATAAAAGACTCAGTTAATTAAATAGACAAACGCACTGTAAATATATGAGTTAAAATAAAAATTATGGCATAGAATAAAACATAAGGTAAACAGTGCAAGAGGTCAAGTTAGACACGACTTGTGTCAAGTAGAACATAGTCATGCCTCCCAGATATTTATCGATCGAGAGAAATATCAAGTTTTCGGAAGTCATCCGACGCCATCACCGGGGATAGGTTTTCTTTTTATCTTGCATCCTCACTGCACAGCTAATAATAATATTATATTACGCCAGCGTGAGGGGAGGTTTTAAAGGGGAGAAATCAAAATTTGATTATAAGTTAGTTTATTCTAATATTAATGCTAACATCATTAATTTTGAACTACCGAATACGATATTGTCATGTTGTACGTTTGGCAGTCGGAGACTATACATACTGGCGTGACGTACTCTTAATGAAACTAGTCAGTTATACAATTTTAAAATTCGGTATTTTTTAGTTTGGATAAAAGATTATGTTAGATGATTACAAGTACGTAATGTTATCTTTGAAATTATTTTACTAATAAAAAACTTTTAACTCGTAGATCGTAGTTTTGAATAATATGGACCTAAGTAAGAAAAATGTCATATGCTTGATATCCACAGAACATTATGTATAATATCGAAGCAAATTGTTTTTTTTACAGCGTTCGAGTTGGGGAAACCCTTTTGATCTACCGTTCTGTGTATATAATTCCGTCTTTTCTTTAAGGGCTCGTAGGTCCCGAGCCCAGGGTCCCCGAACTAATGGGACAACCGACCAACGGAGGCTACGAAAAATATAATTGACATCTTTATGTCGCAACGAATTGGCGTCAACCTATCTCAACTAAATATTTCACTGTCAGGCTGGAATAAAAATTTATAATTTAAAAATAATATTCAACTCAAAATTAAAATGCTATTTATTCTTTAGCAATAAATTTGATTAACAATAAGTTATCGACGTACAGTTACAGGCGACTACAAGGTTATTTGTTATTATATTTTCGTGATAAAATAATATCGTTGTTTTAGAACTTTGGTATTTGGTGTACTCGATTCATCTCATCCACTCGTCCTGCTTGACCGTCCCTATTCGAAACACAAAATTACATATCCCTCTCGCTTTCGTATGTCGAAGTGTAACTACGACATTAAATGAAATATATATACATAATATATGCAATAGTACCAGGCTCGGAGACAAACTTTTAACTATATGCACCAACATTTTTTATCGCTCTACCCCCGCGGGCTACATATAATATTTATGGTTAAAAAATTTCGAATCATGCAAAACACGCACAAAATATTGTTGTGACGTAAAAATACTTGACTAATAGATATGAAAAAATTTAATGGGCTCAATTCGTTGAAAATAATTCATTTTCCATGTCGACAGCCACGACGAGAATACCATGAAATTGGGCACCTCCGGTAATTTTTTTCCGTGTTTTGTAAAAAAACAAGTTGATATTTTGTATAATAAATTCACCAAAAAATAACACATTACCTAGACATATCTACAGCTTTAATGTAGTGTTTTAAATCAATAGAAATTAAAATAAACAATACTTTTTTGGGAGTCGAAAGTTGTCCGTAGTCATCCCTTAAGCAAGGTGACTTCGAATTCGCATTAGTTATGGATTTAAGCCCACCTCAAATGCGTATTCGGTAACACCGGACACCATTTAGGTTTTTTAAAAATAAAAAAAATATTTAACCGTCTGAAATAGATGGATTAGACATAAAAAAAAAAAAAAACTTTATTCGGATAACGATTTTCGGGGAATTAATAATACGTAACCGTTACCTATTTGACAATCCTCTAGCTGTATGCCAATACTAGCAACATAATCACTATCCGGGTGTACCACGTATATGGTATACGGTTTTTGAGTACAACGGGTGTTTTCGTGTAGGTTTGAAACCGTATACATACGTCGTTATATGGACAACTTTTGAGACGGTCCAGTTGGAACGGATTGGTCGTTCGTGAGGAAAATGTCGTTTTAAAAGTTTTTCCGGCGAACAAATGTAATTTACCCGGAAGCCGAGAAGTCATCTTACCTGAAATCAACCGAACCTGGCGTTTTTCGACACACACACTTATTCGTCTCTCTTCGTGAGTCAAATTATATCATTTATTTCTCCAACCATATCGTTTTTTTTTTTATTTTTGTTTATTTTTTTTTTCATATTCAGCAAAGTGTTTAGATCATTAGTTATTCTATGTGTTTATAGCAACTTTTAAAAGCTTATTATATTTATTCAATAACCATATTACGGAATAATAATATGATACATACTTATGTCTATGTAATACGAGCTGACCTTCGGTATCGAAAAAAAGAAAGAAAAAAAAATAGGATAACTTTTGACAATTTTCAATAATTAATGACCTCATTAAACATTCTTTGTAAAATAGAAAATTAAAAAACTTTTATATTAATGTATTAGGAACAGAAATTATAAATTAAATAATAACGGTGGTTATTAGGAACTTCAAGTGCACGAATAATTGGAAATTAAACTACGCAATCCATTGAAACAATGTATGTATTTTTTAATTTTGAAAAAATATAATTTTTTATCAACGACGCAACAGGAATTATCTATTTTTTTAAAAAATTAAATGAATATGCGAAAATAAGAAGAACCTAGAATAAACAAAGTATGAATTCCACGTAAAATATATTATATTTATTAAATATTAAAACCCTAAATGTACGCAGTATTTAAATTCGGGGTGTATCCGAAAAAAATTAATTAATAAGGTGATTTGGATGGAGGATATTCCCCCAATCAAATTTTATTACTTTTCAATACTAGATAATAGAAAATAGTAATTTAGTAATTAATTCTGTACATTGTCTTTAAATTAGTTTTCATAACGATGTAAATTAATAATTAAATATCTTTAACTCCATAAAATGTATGTTATAATTTTGTTGATAAATTCAATATTTTATTCTTCTTAGTGAAACTATGAAGAACAGAATAATCAAATGGACACAGACAAATTTATAACAATATAAATGTATTGTTTATTAACAGAATATATCGGATTAACTATCTTAAAAGTCAAACGGATTCTTTACCGATTTTTTATTAGCAGTCGTGACATTGAAAAATCAAAGCAGATAAAAAATTATTTTCGTCTTCGTCTTATTAAAATATGAAAAGACTCAATCAATGTTCGCACGTAAAATTCTTATCGATATCTTAAATTCAATATAATATTATTATTGCGTTGACATGTACGGTTAAAAACAATATATAGGTTCTCATTCATACCACATTTAGAACACGAAATCAAGACCAGCGTCAATTATATTCAGTATCTGGCCTAAAAAACACGTTGGATACGAAATACGAACCGTATCAATGTCAACATAACGCCATGACTAGGTCGTTAAAGAAACCGATCACGCATTGTCGGTTGATAATATTGAAAATTCAATAGTACAGACCGCGGGTTCACAGACACAGACGGCGGCGAACAAAATTTCCGAAAAGACTTAAAACGGACAACAACAACAATAACAACAACAACAACACTAAAACCAAATTAAACCACCAAAAGAGAACTCTCAACGGACCCCCAGCGAACATGTCTAACAGCAATATGTTCCACATGTCATTGAAGGTGATCAGCGTGAAGCTGTTCGACCATCGGCAGGCGATCAACACGTGCCCTTTGGGCCTGAGCTTCCGGTTCCCCGGGCTGGTGCGCTTGGAGATCCTGGAGGGCGAGTTTTGCGGCCCGGTGGCGGCCGGCGGCGCGGAGGTGCGCATGGCGGAGGGCCGGTCGTGCCTGTTCGCGGTGGACCCGTGCAACGTTTTCCAGACCGTGCGCCAGTTCTACGCGGACGTGGGCGTGTACAGGTACGTGGGCGACGGCCAGGACGCGCGGCTGGTGGCCCAGACGCGGATCGAGTTCAAGCGCACGTTCACGGATCTCATAGAGATACCGGATCAGCCGGACCGGAAACGGGAACTGAAACAGGTTCGTTGCACGGGGAGTGCGGGGAAGGTTAACGATTGGGCCGAGGAAAAAAAAAAAAAAAAAACAACGTAACGTTCGTACGCTTCGCAGACGTTTTACCTGTACGAGATGGAACGGCCGAGCCCGGTGGGCTCGATGGATGTTCAAGTCGAGCTGTTATCGCTGGGCTCGATGTTGATCACGAATTTCAAACGCGACCAGGACACGGGAAGGTTCCAATATGAGGGTTCGGACTATTTCTTGGCGGCCAATAAAACGGCGTGCAAGAGAAACTGCTCGAGGGAGACCCGCGACAAATGTCGGAACAAAGGAGAGAGGCACAAGGACTTGGCGGACGCGATGGACAACAAACAAGGTAGACGTTTTATATGCATTCGAATCTCCAACTAACTTGACGGTTGTTTGAAAACTATTCGTTCGATAGAAAATCCACGACGAATAGTGTCGACGTTGCCGAAAATTTTTTTATTTTTTATTATACTTTTGAAAACCCTGGAGTACAAATACTAATAATAACATTAATTCATCACGTAAAGCTTGTCTTTAAATAGACCTTATGATTATGTACAATTATACTGCGCAATAATGATGCATACACGCAGTGCTCGAATCGGGAAAAGTTAAGTAGAGGCACTGAGTCCAACGATTTAAAAACTGCGTCCGACGTGTGCAATTATTTAACACAGTGAATAATAAGAAACCATACAATAAACAATGTATATACCAAATTATATCTGTACGAACCAGACATTACTATACATTTTTCATAACCACCTTATAATCTTTTATTATGAAAATATATTTTTTTCATTTACCTTATGCAGGTAATAAGCGTAAATAGAACGATGTTTACACGCATTGGAATTAATTTTCGAGAAATTATGTATTTTGTATGTTGCTAAGCACGGGTCGTCAGGTCCGACGCGTACTGCGTGTCTGCAAAGCACGGTTCAATCTATAAATATAGTTATCTATAGTTATCCGAACGTAATTTCGGTTAACATATGCTGACCACTGATAAGTGATAATACAAGCGGAGCTCAACATAAAATAAAAAAAAAAACGAATATCAAAAACAGTTTCGATAAATCGTAATATTCGTTATAAAATTGACGTAAATTGAAATCCACATTTTAATAAAAATTATTTTGGACATTAGTTAGGGTGAACTAGTGGTGTCCGGTGAAAAAATATAGTTGGGGTACGCAAAAGAAAAAAAAAATGGTAAAGGAGCTCCTGCTCACCTCTCCACCCAATTCGAGCACTGCGTACATGAATGGATTACATTCAAAAACACCTTACCGAACTGAAAAAAATTATATTTATTTTTAAAAATACAAAAGAATATATTCTTCGTGACGTACGGTTGTTGAAAACTGTACATCGATAATGGATTTCGAGTTGATCCATGCAGCGGGGGGTGCGGGCAAGGACACGACATTGTCTTTGGACAACATTCACGTATTATACATAATTTTCGGCAAAACGTTTTTATGTTTGAGTCAAATCACTTATCCCTGCCATTCCCACGCCCGGTTCACCCCCGCGAACGAACCAATTACACCGGCTTAACGTTGGACATCGTGCGTTAACCGATAACGAATTACCGGCAGAGTGTAAGCCGGGATGCACCAAGACGCTGTGTCCCAGGCGGAAGGAGTACATGGAACAGTTCATGATTTTGTCGACCGTGATGAGGATGATGAAGAACCTGTACTACGCGGCACAAGAGGATCCGACGGATGCGGACCGCGCGAAAGTTGGCCTGCCGTGCGTGTTCGACCGGCACTGTCCGATAGCGAACTGCCCGTTCCGGTTGGACGAGTCACCGTCGGAGGCCGACGAGGAGGAAGAAGCGCTCGATTCCCACCACCCGCAAGATCAACTTCACCCGCACGATCCTCACCGCTCGCACGATCTTCACCATCCACACGATCTTCACCACCCGCACGATCCTCACCGCTCGCACGATCTTCACCATCCACACGATCTTCACCACCCGCACGATCCTCACCGCTCGCACGATCTTCACCACCCGCACGATCTTCACCATCCGCACGATCCATCGTTCCGGGCACAGCGGACTGTCGCTCACGCGCACCAGGACCCGCCGACCACCAATTACATCGAGGACGACGCGGACCTGTTCGTCGTAGGAGTCGGCCGTCAGGACCCGTGCCAGGTCAGAGAACCGGTGTACAGTGCCGCTGGTACGCAGTACTCGTATACGGACATATCGGCCTCGTTCCTACCGCCGATTCCAGAGCCTCAACCCGAGGAGGTAATCGAAAAACCAAAAAATATGGACAAGAAGGGTAAGAAGGGTAAGAAGGACAAGAAGGGCAAGAAATAGGACAAGAAACGGTTGACTTCGTGTTTCAGCAAGAACGTTAGCTCCCCAAGTTCGAATCGTACGTATTTTTCCTTCTCTAACATTTTGCATGTAATTCGTATGCCTGTTCACGAAATAAATAATACCGAGTAGGAAGTATCCTACTTCTAGGATACTGGTATATCCTAGGTGGATGCTTCCTAGTGTTAATTGCCATTTTCTGGTTTGGACGTTTCTCCAGCACCCAAATTTGAAAATGATAAAAGCAATAAATAAAAATATTACAAGTCATGAAACATTTGTGGTGGCCCTGAAGAACGAAATGAAAAGGTATTAAATTTTTTTTCTTTTCCCTTTTTTTTTTTTAGTTACCACAAGTGTTTTATAATTGAATCGATAATTGAAAAAACGTCACATATTCAATGAAATTAAGATGTTAGAAAGAACGTATACTATTCATGTGTTTTTATGCGTTGAGTGTAAATATGCTTTTAATTAAATTTTTTTATCAAAAATAAATAATAAAATCAGTGTTGTTACATTAAACGCATAGAAGCCCTTGACTAGTATACGTTTTTGACATCTCGATTTAATTAAATATGTGACTTGTGACATTTCTGCAATCATCGACTCAGTTATAAAACACTTGTGATAATCAAAAAGAAAAAAAAGGGAAAAGAAAAAAATTAAATTTAATAAATTTCCTTTCGTTCTTCCAAGCAACCTCGAATGTTTAATAACTTGTAATATTTAATTTATTTTTATTATTATTTTCAAATCGGGTAATTGGGAAAATGTCTGGATGCTAAATTCGTTATTTGGACTAGGAAGGAGAGAGGATACTTCCAATTTCGTAAATAGGTATACAAGTTACGAGGAAGTGTTGGGATAACTTTCGTTAAAAATTTTAAAATTGTTTTAAATAAATAAACAAATCATGACATCACATATCAATAAAATATTAACCAGTCTCACGCTCGAATGAAAATGTTATATCAAATAATAAACTATATCTTAACACTACAAATCAAATGTTCATTTTTGAACTATAATTTTTTCATAAAAACATTAATAACATACATATTCCCAGTATGGGTCGCAGCATCATCTCAAATGGAAATAAAAAATTACGGACTATACAAAATAAATTACTCACAATAGCAACTAGGTTAATGCGTAATAATTAGCTTCATAATGGCACTGAAATATGATAGTTAGAAATATGGACGAAAGACCAATTTAAAAAGATCCACTCAAGATTAAACTCAAAGGATCTCTCTGTGTCATAAAATTAAGGAAAAACCAGAAACTCGAGATTCTTTTTCAGAGTCGTTTTATTTCACAACTGTTTCAATCTATCTACTCATGTGCCCTATTTTATCTAACTTAATGTAAATTAATATATATAAAATTAAAATTAAATTATTATGAGCAAAAATTAAATTCAACTTTTCAAACTACGTATAACTGCTATAAGAATGGTTTTTGATGTTCATCTTGTTTACGAATACATTTTTCGTAATAGATAGGTATCGAAAACTACCAAAGAGCTAATAATATTATCACATACTGCAGTTTGGAAATTATTTTTGCTTTTCATTTGACAAAAATCTTTTATCATCCGTCTGTCCTGCGGATATTGATGTCAGCTATGAGATCGTTGTATTCGACACTAACTTGTACAGTTAATTACAATACGTAGAAAAATAAATAATTACATTTTACCCGAAATGTTGATGATATAGCTAAGAAATTATGACAATTTCTAAGAAATTTCAACTTTCTCTGTAGCATAATATTATGTTTATTATATTCAGCATATTTTTAAAAAAAAGTTCTGTAAAAAATTTAAATCCCGCGTTAGACATCAACATTTGATGGAGTTGATGTGTGATCTGATGTAAAATCTGTCGGTGAAAACCAAAAAAAATTTTTTTAGATCGCAATTCGTTCATATTGAGCTTATCGCTTGTGTAGCTTGTCACCCAAAAGTCCTGTAATGTATTCAGTATTTCCGAGACCAATGCAATGTTATATTGAATTAAATTTTTATTTTTTCAAGTATTACAAAATATGAATAAAAACAAAGCTGTCTTGTTACGTTCAGCCATAAATATCGAAGAATTTATTTCCTCGTTACGATAATATTTTTGTACGGTTATAATAACGGGTCCAGAAAGAAAATGGTTTTTAATATTTTATTTAATATTTTAATATTTATTAAAATTATTTTACCGCTTCACGATTTGTATACCAAAATAAGCTTACACCGAAAAAAGGGTTTCAAAACGTTTTGTTCACAACGAGAAAAAGTAAATATGAATTTCTTTAAATTTAACTTTTACTCTTACTCATGCGCTGGTTATCACCATATAACTGTTTAACGGACGATTTTTTATCAATGTACTTAGTTATTCCATCCACCATCCATTCATTATTCCAGAATTTGACCTCTCTCGTTTAAACTTCTTTTAAACTCGTCATTGTTATGTTTTATTACTGCTTTGACGCGACGTGGCGAAATTAGTTTTATAATTATTATAACTTAATTAGTAGTTTTGTGACGGTAGACTATGCGAAGACCCGGTTGCTTCCGCCGGTGGTATGTAATAAGATAATGATAATAATAATTAAATATTTGCTTTAATTTAAAATAATTTGTTTAAAATTCATAAGTTCTATGTTAAAAATACGCATAAAATATTTATACTTCCCGTGGTATATCTGAATAATTATTACGCATAATAAAACACATTTTCCGCATTTTTGAAGGTTGTAACTGAAATATTAAATGTGTGTGTATATTTTAAACCACTTCAAACATCAAAGTTTTTTGTACGAATTCATAATGAGTTTTAATTGGTGGAACATTCTTTTACGGAACAGGAGGATATTTTGATAATTTAATTAATGTTATAAATTTGTAAAAGAAAACTTTCATACCACATTGATATAACGCTATACTCGGAGAATATTTGTTACTACTAGGGTTGTTGCTTTGGATAAATTATATTAGTATTTTAATATGAAAAAATCTTCTTAAATAAACCCGAATAAAAATCTATTAAAAAAACGCCAAATGAAAACCATCAATAAAAATGATTTTAGTCAGGCGCAAACGCAGGAAAGATTTTGAGGTTCAAACACATAAACAAATGAGTCATCAATAAAGATCAATATAACATAGTGGTGATTTGTACGCACTCATTAGAACATAATTATGTACCCATAAAAAACAGCAAATTTCGGTGTATTTATATATTTAAAGTCGACATTTTAATGTACACTCGAAATATTAATAACGATTATAATACAAACTTCTACGATTAATATTATTCATAGACATACACATGTGCACAAGTTATAAGAATATAAAAATAATACGCAAGTTAAATCGTTAAAATCCATCACAGTTTTATTTTGGTTGGGTGTTTCACGCGAAATTAAACTGTGATGAATTATAATGATTTAACTTGCGTATTTTATTTGTATTCTTCTAACTTTAGGAAGAGATAGAAAAACTTGATAGGATATACAATGTAATAATGAGAGTTAGACGACACGAAAAAAGTTTCAAAACCCAAAGCATCGGGTTTTATCGTTATGTTGGAAGTGAACAAGTGATTATAGCTTTATACAGTGTAGATCAACGCGTATCCATCTACGATGTACAAGACACCGAAAACTAAGCTGTATTTCCGTAACAGGAAATAAAGTTCAAAACTTCGACAGAAAACGGTTGTAGTAGTATAGGGCAGGTGTCGGCAACCCGCGGCCCACGGGCCGCATGTGGCCCGTGAAGCAATTTTTTATGGCCCGCATAAAGGTGGTTCATTTTTGTGTTTTATTTTTGTTCAGTAAAATTCTTTTTTTTTTTATAAATAAAATTTATTCTAATCGTTAATAGTTGATGTTTATTCTATAAAGTTAGTTTAATCACAGAATAAAACAGAATGGATACTGATAACAAATTACATGGGCAGCATAGGACAATACTGAAATCAGTCAGCCATTTTATTTGAGGTACAGTAGGAAGTTAGTAACATTTTATTCCATCATGAAACGGTAGTAATATTCTTTATAAGCTACTGCGCATTTTCAAATGTTACTAATAGTAGTATTATTTTTCAAGGTATTAGGTGCAATAAGAGTTTAAGATTTGGGGGGCTTATAAGTCTTATACTATGGTATGACTATGGATCAACCCCAAACCTCCCATCATTACCAAAAAAATATAAATTGTGTTTTTGTAAATGTATTACAATTGTATTTGTAAATTTACTACAAAAATAATTTGCATTTTATAGTATTATATCGATATAAACGTTTTTAATATACTTAAAACAATTATATAAATACCTGAATAATACTATTTAATCATCGATGAATCTATTTTACACTTTTTTTTTTTTTTTTAAACACTTCCCATTCTGAAATCCTGCACATGGGTCTGTATTATGGTAGATATACTATCTAAAATATGATCCACAGGTAAAAACTTCTTGGTACCCAATAGGTCACCATATTTCATACTGTTTGGTAGATCACATATTGAACAATTACCATAATTGAAATTACAATAACGAATATCAGTTATCGCTGATTATCATTTGATAACAAAAGTACCTCAATTAAAATGGCCTCTGATTTCATTGCCGCCGTGTTGTGTCCACCCCCTGGTTTAATCTATAAAATCGTTATTATTATCTAATCGGAGTCGAAGATAATGGTGGCTGCACTACTCGGTCATAGAATAAATTAAATATACTTATATATATTTAAAAATAAAAATCTTAAATATATTTAATCTATGTATTTAATACATATGTATCTAATATATTTGATCTATGGTTATATTTACTTTGCGTTTGTAGCAATCAGTATTACACCGTCATTATGTCCGTACATGTAACTGTTTGCGTTTGTAATACTTTCATTTTAAAAGTAAATCCAAACATTATGGCGACTAAAAAAAGAAAAAAAATGTGATGAACATCATTTTTTAATAATTCTTGGGTTGA